TGGAATGATAATTGCTTATTTTTCTGTTTGCCTTTGTTCCTGTTGTGCCTACCACTGCTTCTTTCCCAAACACTTCAACGGAACTGTAAAATCCCTCCCTGTGGAGTAAGCATTTCAGGTTAGCCATCAATGCATCTTTGAACCCTTTTTCTTTTTCTTGGAGATACTTCCTGTTCCAGTCTGGACTGGCTGCAGGCGAGGCCTGCTGCAGAGCTTTCTTGTCTGCTCCTTTCATCATCTGGGAATTTCCTTTATTTCTCTCCTGTTTTGGGTCATGTTTCCTGGTTCCTGTTTTCTCCTGCTTCTTGATTTATTCCCTTGTTTTGTTAAAGCACATCCTCTACCATCCAACTCCTACCCTTACTTTTCCCCCCGCCCAACAAACTCTTAGAATGCTTGTGGTTTTCCTCCACCTTTGATTCCCCTCGGGATTAATCTCACCATCCTTTTTGCGTCCACACCACCCTCCCTATGCCAGGCACTGTGCTCAACATTAGAGATCCTTAGATGAGCGAGCGAGTGAGATTCCAGTGCCCAAGGAAGTTCTGGAAGATGCCCAAGAATTCCCGAGTTCTCTCTGGAGTCCACACTGCCCCCTAGTGGCCCTTTCTAGAAAATGGGATATATATCTGATGAATATATATTTATCTAGGAAAAGAATCTGTGGCTTATATGGTAAGCATATGTTTAGGGTTTTTTTTTGTTTTTTGGGGTTTTTTTGAGACAAGGTCTCGCTATATAGCCCAAGCTGGCCTTGAACTCGCACCAGTCCTCCTGCATTCTGGGATTATAGGCATGTGCCACAATGCCCAGCTAAATAGGTTTAGCTTTTACTGCTATTACTAAAAAGTTTTTCAAAGTGGTTATATCTGTTTACTTCTTTTAGCAGGCGTGATAGATAGTTCCAGTTGCTCCATATCCTTACTGAACTTGATATTGTTAATGTATTGTATGTTTATTCGGTCAATGACTAAAAACTTAACAAATGTTATTATATATTTAGATGTATATGAAATATTAACTGAGGTCTGTCATAAACTGCAAGAAATTTGTATAAATCACATTAAAGGGATTTATAGCATTTATAAATAAATCTTACTATGTTAACTTTCTGTTACTGTAAGAAATACCTGAGATAATCAACTTATAAGAAGGAAAGCCTTATTTTGGCTCACAGTTTCAGAAATTTCAGTCTGACCAGTTTGCTTCATTGCATTGGCCTGGGGTGGCACAGCATGGCCGGCACACACGATGGAGCAAGACTGCTCACCTCCTAGCTGGGAAGCAGGAGAGAGAAGGAGAGGGAGAGGCTGCGGTCCCTCTGCCTCCTGAAAGGGTGCCCCGCTCCCCCATGACCCGAAGACGACCTCCCCAGCCAGCACTGTGCTGGGGACCGAGCCTTTACCACGTGGGTTTTGGGGAGATATTCCAGATCCACACTGCAGCATTCACAGGATTTTAATTTCCGCCTAAGGAAGCTAATCTCTACCTAAGATACATTGATTTACAAATATGTTGCTTTCATGTTATATTAGTTATATGTTGCTGCCTCAAAAATTATCTCGAAGTTTAGCAGCTTAATAAATATTGCTGACTCTTATGATTTCTGAGAGTCACTGATGTGGTAGTAGCTCAGCTGAGTACTTCCACCATAAGCCTCTCACCAGATCATAGGCAGGCAGTCGGGACTGGGGAATCTGCTCCAGGCCCACTCACAAGGCTGCTTCCAGGCCTTCCTTCAGGCCTTGCTGGCCTGACTAATGTTAGAGACTTTGCTTCCTGCAACATGGCTCTCCACAAACTTAGAGCAGGCAGTTTGCTTCTCCCAGAGTTAAGTGGGCGGGGTGGGATGGGCTGCAGGACAGAGGTTGTCGTCTTTGTCTTGGAAGTGATAGGCTATTACTTGCACTATAACTTACCAGTCATGCTGGCCGGCCACCCGGAGCCCAGTGGGGAAGGACTGCACAGGGTGTGAAAACTGAGAAGAGGTGGGGTCGCTGGGGTCCATCATCTCGGAGGGCAGCTAATACACATATGGGCATTCTTTTTTTGGAGCTAATGGCAAAATACACATAAGATGTTTCATTTTACCCATTTTAAAGTGTGTAATTCACCGACCATCCATACAGAATGTTGTGCAGCTCACCTGCTTCCAGAACATTTTCATTACCTCAAAAGGAAGCTCCATACTCATTAAAGTTATCCCCTGTTCCTTCCTCTCTCAGTCCCGGCAGCAACTAGTTTTTCTGTCTCTGTAGATTTGATTCTGAGCATTTCCTATAAATGGAGACTAACGTTGCTCCCTTCAGGTTTGTCAGCTTTTATGTCATTTGGAGCTCAGTCAGGTGTGTATGTTTATAACTGTCAGCTCTTCTGGATGGATTGGCCTTTTACCGATATACTCTCTTTCATAACAATTTTGGACTTAACGTCCATTTTGTTCAGTATTAGTACAACCACTCTGGCTGTTTTGGTTCCTGTTTGCATGGAACATCTTAGTTCATCCTTTCATTTTCACCCTGTGACTCTAAAGTGAGTCTCACGTAGATAAAATATAATTGGATCCTATCTTTCTTTATTTGCCAACTTCTGCTTTTAGAGTTTTTAATCCAT